CAAACATGAGCATGCTGTCGAGATCAGTGAGCACGCCTCGGACATTTCAAAGGCAGGGAGGCATTGTTGTTATAAATGAATGTGCTTATTAAAATTGTAAGTTTACTCATTTACAATCTCCTTTTAGTAAACAAAAAGAGCATACTGGATGTCAGTGACTTCTAAATCACAAGTTACAGAGCCTTGCACTTTAAAGTTGATAAAAAATACCTAATGTACAATCAATATCCACATAGCTTCAGACTCTCAAGAATAATCAGATGAGGTAGTCAGAGTCTAGAGTTCAATATTACTGTAAGCACTAGCTATTGGATGTAAAACTCCCTATTTATGAGAGAAGGTGGAGTAGTGACAGATGATCTGAGTATGCTGCAGGTGTGTTCGATTGTGATGTGCCTCAAGTGTGTGTTCAACTAATATTCAAGTCAGCATGCGTGGTGCATTCAGAGTTTTACATGGGCTCACACTTTCTGTTTGGACCACTGAATTACTGTAGTGTAGACTGCATGTTGTTATGTGGTAGCTTGGTTTGCTTCACTGTTTGTTTATGTATTACAGGTCCATTCATGTGTCAGAAGTAATGGAGGGGAAGCTTGTATCAACAAGGGTGGTTATAGTGAGATTCAATGAAGCAGAGGCAAGTGTATCTGCCATCCTGGAGAAACTGAAGGTGGCCATGGGAGACGATGACGACTACATCCTTACCGACACACTCGGCAATGAAATTGTGGAGTCAGAAGGGACAACTGGTCAAAAACATGAATTTTATAATTTAATTTTCATACTACATACTGTATAAATGGCAGTGTTCTGAAAGTATTGACAGTATAACAGTGTTTACTCTTGTTATTCTCTCTTTGTGTCTTTACTCTGCATTTCTCTCATGAAGGGTCTTTGTACTGCAGGCAGAATGCCTGAAAAATCTATGCCATTGAGAGTACCGCATTCCGGCAATGGCGTCGACGACGATCAAATAGCAGGTATTGTTTAGATAGCAAAACATATTTTTTTTCCCAACGCCTCATAGCAGGTCCTGGGTTTGAATCCTGGCTGGGGCAGGACCTTTCCATGTGGAGTTTGCACGTTCTCCCCGTGCCTGTGTGGATTTCCTCCAGGGGCTTTGGTTTCCCCCACTATTAAAAACATGAACATTAAAGGGATATTCCGGCGTACGTTTAACCCATGGTCTAACGCAGTGGTTCCCAACCCCCGGTACCGGGCCGTGGATCATTTGGAACTGGGCCGCAGAAAGAGAAAGAAAAAATATAAAATAGTTTTAGTAATAGTATATGTTTTATCTAATTTACACTTCCGGTCGTTTTATTTTTGAAAATTTTGCCACTTCCGTTTGTGCATCTTCCCAGCACTGCGCAATTGACAGGCAGGTCCAGAAACGTAAAAGAGTGAAAGACACATGTCGCCGGGAAAAACTCAATAATGAGATGATGAAACAAGAGTCCTGTTTAAATTACGGGTTCATTGCAACAGGTGATTCACATGCTCCAAGTTCCACATGCGTAATAAATGTGGGGACCGGCTCTCCGCCGCTTCATCACTTCACATAGAACTTCAAATCTTCCTGCGTTCTGGGTAAAAGCAGAATATCCTCAGATCGTCACAAAAGCACTGAACACCTGCTTCCATTACAAACATATTATGTTTGTGAAGCAGAGTTTTCTGCAGCGACAGCAGCAAATCGAGATGACAGAGTGGAGTGGACCATCACCCCCAGATGACTCATATATTATTATTATTATATTATGGTGAGTTGTAACAAAGAACGTAAATGTAATAGAAAACCATGTGACCGTCTACAATCGTTTTTATATTATATGTGTAATGTAAACAGGAAAACATACATACCCCTTCCGGGCCGTGGTAAAATTGTCCACCAGTGAACGGTCCACTGGGACCCCTGGTGTAACGCACCGTCACACCAAGTAAGACCCCTCCTTAAGAGATCAAGTCTGCCATCCGCTAGCTTCTCTAGTTGTAGCAACTTCAGCAAAGACCACACAATAGCAAACACTGCAGTCTATTCTTCCACAAGCTCAAAAAGCCTGTCATAGCCACAAATAATGCTCAGAGCAGCACCAAACTTCAGCAACAGCACAACCTCGAGTTATACGTTGTAGCAACTTCCTCCACCATTTCGTCCACCATAGCGTCCAGGCACTGACAAAACATGTCCAACTCCTGGCAGCACAAACATTCAGTTTCAGTGGCCATTTCCTGATGTTTGATGCATTGTATTATGGGCTGGGATCCTATTTGTGCTGTTGCTGATGTTTGGTGCTGCTCTGAGCATTATTTGTGGCTATGACAGGCTTTTTGATGGTGGTTTCTTGGTGGAGGAATAGACAGCAGTGTATTGCTATCGTGCTGTCTTTGCTGAAGTTGCATGGGTTAGCATGGGTTAAACTTACGCCCAAATATCCCTTTAAGTCAATCCTCCAGTGCTTCTCCATCTATGTCTCCATTTCACCCTCATTTTTCATCTCAAACGTTCCTTGTCATAACTTGAACTTTTACAATACAGTAATTCTCAAATAAACTGTTCACACAGTTAAGAAAATATAAAGCTATTTTCAGTTATTTTCCATCATGCTATCATTTATTTCGGACTTTTTATTTGCCAATACCTATCTGTGCATACAACTAAATTCCTCATATAATTATTTCTCAAATGGCTGCAATTTCTTGATCTGCTAACTATATGCAAATTGTGCCAAATACAGAAATGACCATGTCCAAATGCTGAGGGACAATGTGGAGGAACTGCTGGAGGCATCCCAAGGACTGGATGAAGTTACCAAGAAGATAACTGACATGGTGACCGTCAGCCGTGATTTGTCAGCAGTTTGGCCTGAATTCAAACAGGCATTCATCTGTTTGATTTGCAGAGGTACTGTTTCCATTGTGCATGTTTGAATATTGCTCAGTGTAACACAGAAGTAATCTAATGTAGTATTAAAATTAGTGTTTGAGCAATTGTTTAGAAATTTATTTAATTTTGACTATTGGTCTTTAAGTGACAATTAAGGATTCAGAAAAAAAAAAACACTTGAAAACAGAAATGATTTCAGGCAGTAATACAGTGAGAGTCGAGAATCCAGAAATTTTTTTCAAGAAATATTGCTTTAAAAAACTCTATTCTGTTCATCCAGAACCCTTTGTCTTTTTCCGTTGGAACGTGACAACCTAATCAAATTTGAATGGTCATCAGTAATCACACTTTACTGTGTGTTAACGTCACGGGTGTACAGATACTTGTGTAAAAAAAATACTCGGGTAAAAATAGAAATACCGATTCAACTTCTAAACTTGAAGTTGAATAAGTACAGAGTCTTTAAAGTTCAGGCTCTGAAATGTATTCAATAGTGCAAAGTAAAAGTACTGTAACCCTGTAAAGGACGTCTCTGGCTCCATATGCATATATTTTATTAAAGCAAAATATAAATGATGCCAAAATAGACATCAACATTTGTTGCCTTGGCAGAAGCTGCTTCTCAAAAGTCTGACTCTCATTTCTGTTTCCAGTGTAATGTGAGAGCTCTAACTTCTACTATTAATTATTCATTAAAACTACCTTAACTTATGATCCCAGTACCTGAATTTCATAATGGAACAGTGTTTTTTTTTTCTAAATTCCCAGTTTCTTTTTCTGAAGTTCCAATCTCAAATCAATATCAATATTTAAAATTTACATGTCCTTTCTTTTTCTTTTTTTTTAGCTACAATGACTCGGCCGATGTTCTCATCCTGCTGTTGGACCCTGGTGGGGTGTAAAGTCTGCGTAGAAGAATGGAAGGAGACTTCAGATCACTGCCTCAAGTGCAGGGATGACCTGCCCATATATACAGAGGTAACTGGACTCTCTGCAGCACTGGACAACTTAAAGTCCCTTCCGTAAAGAAGACTAGGCTAGCTTCCTGTATGGTAGTTCAGAA